TCTGAAACACATAGGATCACCATCCACGTCCTCCCAACTCCCAGTCAGTGGGCTACATTTACATGAACACAAGAATACTCGTAGAAATCAGGTCACACAAGAAATTGAAGAATGTGTTTGTATGCATTGATGCACCCTGGTTAATTTAAATCCACATGTGCAGAATAGTCATCAGATTTATTCTCTACCCTTGACCTTATTTTGAAATAACTTACTTTAAATGTCTAGTGTGGGATTTAGTGGCATCTAGCAGTGAGGTTTAAGATTGCAACCGACTGAAACTCCTCCCACGTGCCAAGCATGCAGAAGAACACAAAAATGTTCATGGCCCTATCTAGAACCAGTGTTTGGTTTGTCTGTTCTGGGCTACTGTAGAAATAACATGGCTGACTCCATAGAGGAGGACTTAGAACGTACCTATATACAATGTATTTTAGCTGTGCGTTACGTAGAAATACTAAAGGGTGCCTTGTGCATTGCTGTCAGATGCTGAGGGGCGTAACAAAGCATTTGTATCTTAGGAACTGTTAATAAGAACAGGTTAGGGAAATAAACTAGGTCTCCTGGGTCAAAGTCCTATATTTGTTTGACCAATCCATCCTTTCCAACCTCCTCCTTACTCCTTACTTGTCCTCACTCTTTATAATATGTTATCTGACTTCCTGCTTTCTCCCGTCATAATTACTATGGCTATTAGATGGTGCCGCCTCACAATATATGTAAGTATAGGTTGTAATAAACTGCTTGTACAAATGACCTATGGGGTTGTTTTCTGGGGTGGAGGACAGTCTCAGTCTATCTTGGAAAATCAGGTTTCTCTAATCCCAAAACTGTGTTTCTTGTTTACTCTACGTGATGGTTAAGAAATCAAGTTACAGCAGAAAGTCAATTACTCAAGTAAATGTAAGGGCACTTAGTGAGGAGCATCACAAGGAGGATGTAACAAAGGTGAAAAAATCTCCTTCCAAGATAACAACCCCTTCCTCCTTCCATGCATACTGCAGCACCAACAAGGACATGATCCCTCACTGGATTCCCACATGCTAAACCTGACAACTGTGGTAATAACGTTAGCATGTTGTATTTGTTTGGAAAACGTGTTTAGTAGCCTATAAGACAGATGTTTTGCTGGTGAACCTTGTGAGTTGTAGTGAAGCCAAATTTTGTAATGTTAGCCTACCTTTGTTAAATGTTGGTGTTGTCCCTGGCTTCATGTGAGTAGAAGATATCTCCACTAGCCGCTGGGCTAATTTATACAATGTTAAATGCCACTGGCTTGTGCTATTAACATTAGCATGTTGTATTTGAGAAGAAAATGTGTCCAACAAAAGACAAGTGCTTTGTCTGTGAATCCTGTGATAGTAAAGCCAATAAATTGCCACTATTAAGCCATGGTTAATATGTGTTTTGAGTGTGTTCTGAATCAACTAATCAACTACAACACTTCACAAAAACCCCTCCTCCAACTAGTGTTTTGGAGGTGTAACTGCAGAGTGACACAGACACACCACTGCATAAGTATAAATGCTCATAACGGCCTAGGCCATGTGCACAGACTACGGTCTAGGCTCTGCATAGAGCTGACGCACAAGTATAAATCCACCTTGAGCCACATGTTCCCCTGCTGAAACTGCATAGTGTGTTCTATGGTGGGTGGTCAAGCCCCCTGTGCCCCCTGAAAGCTATTCTTTATCCATGAGGAGCAAATCTTACTGTGAGGCTTGGTTAAACACACGTTGCATGAAATACATGAAAAATGAGACCACCCTTATCAAATTCATCCACAGACTTAACTGGCTGTTGTTTATTTCTGCACTTCAAGGCAATAAAAGAATATTACCACGGCTCCTGTAAAACACCAACTCACTTCATATTGTTGGCTGTAATTAAGTGTAATTACTGTGGAAAACTCCAAATGGATACCAACAAGGTCATAGTAATCATGTAGGCTATGCTCACACACACATACACACCAATCATGTTCACCTCAACGGGGAGGAGCCTCGCGGCAATCAGTGGGAGAAGGGAGAGAAGAATGGGGGGAGGATGGGAGAAGAAAAGAGAAGCAGATAGAGAATGGAGGGTGAGAGGGAGGGACAGGGGGTGAGGGTTGGAGTCACGAACAAGGAGAAGCAGAGCGTAGAGCGTGAATGCCTGCAGGACTTTGCTTGGTTAGGGAGGAAGAAAGGAGTTTACATGGATACTTGGAAAGAGACAGAAAAATGATGGTGCACCGTACACAGCATCTTGTGAGGATATTACAGTGACAACCGCACACAGACATACAGCATATCAACAAATTATTTTATCATATAAAAAGTCTGAAAAATAAAAGTACGATAAGATATTTTACATATGACAGCGTTCCTATTTTCTTTCAGCCCCAACCTCCATTCTGGAAAATGCCTGTCGTATCAATTTTGCATCAGATGTTGCGGCACAGTTGATGTATTGTCATGTCTCACTGTGGCAGTTAGTATCTAAGGGCTGTGTGCCTGAATTAATCTCCTCGCCACTCTGGTACTGACACAGTGAGTCAGCCCCTGTACACAGCTCTGTGGTGATGGATTATCCACCTGCAGCCATAGGGACTGCTGGGACTCCTGCTCAACACACAGAGCACACAGGGAATACTGGCTACCCTCTTAATCCTGACACGGAGACCAGTGGACCGAAACATCTCATCCATGTGAAACACAACCAGGATAAAGGGTGACACGTATAGTACAACACACACATAATAATCTCATCATTTAAAGAAAGTAGTGTGGATGAGATGTTGCAGTCATGAGAGACAGATTTAAAAATCATTGCAGCAGAAGTCAAGATGTCCTGACGTTTAGGACTTATCAAGGGTCAAGCACCAGAAACAACTGATGCTACATTTCCCATAAAGCCACTGGAAAGTGTCTTTTCATTATACTCTCACTGTCAGACAATGACGCAGGCTTTCTGTCATAAATTTGCAGTTTCCGGGCCCAAGCTGATATAGTGATGGGATCAGTATGACATCATCAGGGTTATTTTCTCCTCCAGAGCCACAGAAGACAGGGGAGTGCCCCTTTGTTGTTTCAGTTTATGTTGTACTGTATGGATACTCATTCCTTTTCAGTGTATATTGTATCATATTCCATCCATATTGTATTGTAACATTGTGCATAATAAGCGTTTGGGCACATGTTGTCATCCCACAATGCAATGCACAGCAGAATGAAAGGTCTAAAGTCAAGGCAAGAAAAAAAATCCTTGGAAAACACTATTTAGAATCATGAAAAATAATCAAATTTAACTGTTTGACACCCGAGCAACTTGGCTTGATTTCTTTTAAAAACATGGGAAGACTGCAATGAGCAACGAAAGAAGAGACGACCCAAAATATTAGCAAGAAATTAGTGAAAAGAGAAAATTAAAACCAAGAAAATTAGATTTAAAAAAGAAAGAAAGAAAGAAAGAAGGGTAAAAACAAGCAAAAACAAGGAAATGTCCTGGAAAGAGTGCTTAAAAATGTAACATAATAACATTATTAATTACAAAAAGCTAGTTTTCCCTAGCTTTTTCCCCATTTTTTTTAATATAATTTTCTAAATCTCTTATTTTTTTGCGCTTTGTGGGACATTTCTTCTCAAGTTGCTCATTACCATTTTTCCTATGTTTTTGAAAGAAATCGCACCAATTTGCCCAGTGCTCAAAGGTTTTAAAAACTTGCCAAATTTATCTGAAAACAGCACAAGAAAAGTGATGTCCCTCCAGCTTTAAAAGGGTTAAAGGGAACCTATGATGCTTTTCCTTATTTTCTGTGATGTAAGTTAAAATGTTGGACATTTCTATTAAATGTAGTCAGAGTTTAAAATAATGAGGTAAACATATATAAAAGTAATCCTTGGAAGCAAAAACCTCAGGCTTCATACCGCTCTGAATGTTTCCAGTGTTTTCTTTTTCTACTTTCAGGACAAGTTGATGTCAGCTCATGATGGATGGTCATCTGTTTCAGACATGCTACTGCAAGTGTTTACATTACGTAACCTAACGTACACCTAACAGCAAAAAAACCCCAAAACATTAAATTTGGTGGCCAACGTGAGTGTCTCGCTGATTTCAAATCATTTTCCTGCCGTGTGGCTGTCTGTGTTTAGATGTTTTTAATGGTGAATTTTTAATACTGCTTTGTAGTCATTTTTCAGCTGCAATGACAGTGCAGAGACGCCAGCGTTGTCGTCTCTTCTCATTAAACGTAGCTAGCACAAGCAGTCGCCAGATGATGTCGTGCTCATTTGCATTTAGGATGATGGATCTTCACTGAATTAGATTAAGTAGAAAAATACTTAGCAAAACATTTAAACTGCATGAGAGCTATGGTGCTTATACTACAGTGCACTAATCAGAAGAGTAAAAGCATCAATGTAACCATAGAAACTAACTACAGCTGAACTCCCACATCTGCTGCAAGTGGCGTCTCCTCCCCTCCTGCGTGCCCCACACCTATGGCACAGCGTAAGATAAGAGAGCAACATACATGAGAATGAATTATAATATATTTCTCACTTTTGGCTTGATGGTCTGAATAAGTCACTAAATTTGTCACTACAAATCTGTCACTTAGAGCGTCTGAAAAATCACTACATCAAGCAAGGATGTCGCCAAGTTTACAACACTGTACGATGCTTGAAGATCCAGAAACACTGACCAATCAGAGCAGACTGACCAAGACTTTAAGACCAAGAGGAGGTCTTAAAGTGTCAGGTGCTAAAATGAAGCGTCTCAGACAGAGAGTAAATACAGGTGTTCCTACACAGATAGTATGAAGAAAATAAAGTGTTGTTTGAACATTAAAGCATTTAAACATGTTCTAGTAGAAACCCAAAAATACACAAGTATGAACCTGAAAATTATTACATTTAAGTCCCCTCCAATTAATATTGAAAGGAAATGCATCCTTTTCTGTTAGCACAAGTTCATGCATCCACACTCACCAACACTTAAACACACACAGAGTCCCTTACCGAGCCATCCTGAGCTGGAGTTGGGCACACACATGTCTGTCTCTGCGCTGGGCAGCACAAAGCCCACCACGAAAACTTCCACCCCATCTGACATGAGTGCCAGGCCAAGCACCAGGAACAGCTGCCACTGGAACCTCCCATGGCCACACTCCTGGATGATCAGCTCGTATTGCTGGGCCAGCTCCTCCTCATCAGCCTGTCTCTCCTGCTCCAGCCCCTTACGGTCCCTTGCAGCATCTGACACCGGTTGCCCCAGTGCCACCTGGCCCTCCTTTTGTTTCTTATCTCCTGCTGAGGGGATCCCCTGGTACTCGCCCTCGTAGATCTCATCCTCATCATCATGGCCCTCTGTTGCATCGCTGGAGCCCTCCTCGTTGTCCTGGTAGCCCTCTCCATCCTGCCTCGGCGGGTTCCGGTAGAAATCCTCATCTTCCTCCTCCTCATCCTGGAATCGGCTGTAGTTGTGGTGGGATGAGTACCCGTCTGCAGCGCGGTCCACTGCCTTGTTGACTTTCTTTACTGCATGCCGCTTGGCTTCCTTGACCATGTCCTTGGCCCCCTTAGCCAGGGAAGTCCTGTTATTGTAAGTGTCCTCCATTCTGGTTCCACCAGTAGGTCTTCACAGGGGTTAAGAGGATACTTACTGTAGAAGCAGAAGGAAGAGGGAAGAGGGGCAAGAGGGGTGAGTGTGCGCTGGCGGGAGAATTGCAGGAATGGTGAGATCAGTGGGTGTCCAGATGCAGCGGGGAAGAAAACTCTTGAGTCTGCAGTCACCACAGGAGATAACCCACAAAGGTTGTGGCAATCATTGGCCAGGCTGAGAGAGATGGGGGAAGGGGAAGAGACAGACAGATAAAAAAGAAGGAGAAAGTAAAAAAGAGGAAGATGCTCATCAGATAGTGCTCATAACTCATGTCTGCCCCGCTACATTCATAACTACCCCAGACTAACAGGTGACACCCTGCAGACAGCACATTCCCTCTCTAATCATTCACTCACCATTCTCCCAGGCCTTTTAATCATTTGGAGTGATGTGAGGAAAAAGGCTTTGGCTGTATAGCTCTCAGTTTTTATTCAAAATGAATATTCAATTTCCAGGGACGCTCTCCTCGTTCTATATTTCATAAGATGGACTTGGAGACACGAGCATTTCAAACAGAGATGCTGAATCTTGCTGACTCATGATCAGCTCTGAGGAACAGAGGCTAATAAACGAGCCTCTGCCCAAAATCAATTTGCCCCCAATAAAGAGCTGGTTTATTATAATGGGAGTGACGATCCAACCGGAACGGCACTGTCATATTTAATCCGTGCAAAGAAAGGAGAAAAGGAGAAATGGTCATGAGAGGATACATAGATAAATGCACACTCAGACATAGACACATATTACAAACACACACACACAAACACACACACACACACACACAATAAGCTATTCTCCAAGGCCCTGATTTTGCGTAGTCAGGTGTCTTTAACACATAAATAAACACACAAAGAGTCCCCACACACCTAAACATGCCATGCACATATGTGAGTGTGCCCGCACAGCATGAATGGGGAAGCCCTTTCCCATCTTGGCAGGCCAGTGCTGATGGGAGGGAGACCCCAGTGTGAATGATGTAACATGATTTCATGTGAGTGTTCAAACTGTGATCCACAGTTTGTCATCACATTGCCTCCGCAGGCTCACTCCTGCTTGTTTACTCTATAATTTGTCACATCAGAGAGACACAACCATCATTATAACAAACTATAAATTAGAAAGAAAAATCCTAAATTGCTTATTTTCTAATAAAAATTTCTAGAAAAGATAGCGTGCGTACTTAAGAGTAGGGTGGAGATGGTCAGAGCTGTCCAGTGTGTGTGTGTGTGTGTGTGTGTGTGCGCGCGCGGTCAGTGTGTGCGGTTCCCGTGTGTCTAGGAGCTGCTCACCACAGCCTCTAATGAACACTGAAGCCTTGTCAGGAGGACACAAATCACAGGGCCAGCTCCAGCTCCCATAATGCAATTTTACTGGGCAAAATGACACTGCTGATTCAAGGTGACTCCACTAATCCCTTTTGGCTCATTGGATGACTCCTGTGCTTATGAGCACACTCCTTTACACATAGACTGATAAGTTTTTAATACCTCCATTGACACCGGTGGTGCCTCAGACATCGTCGTAAGGATGATTCATAAAGACAGCTTTGTAAAAATCTGTTTGTTTTCTTTAGCCAGAGGCGATTGCTCACTGGATCATTGATGAGGCGCACATTGCAAGGGGTTATCCTTTGAATAGTGGCATGACTTTCTAAGTTTTTCCTTTTGTCCTGTATAATATCCACTATCTAATATCCTGCATAAATCCTAGATCAGTAGTCATGTGTAACCTTCTCCATCAACTGCACCTTTAAATAAAAACAATTTTGAATGCCTCTGTAGACCAACACCCTGCCAGGAGCATGTCAGAGTTCAGCAGTGTCAGTGACTTGATGCCATTTATTGTTTCCGGATCAGGTCATGTTGGCTATCACACGTCAATTTTTACTTTAAACGAGCACCAACACATACACCGGCAAAAAGGGGAGACATCCTGCCTGTCAGAGAATCAATGGAGTGTATGGTGAGGCCCGCTGTCACTGGTGATGAAGCTCAGAGGACACCCGAGCAACTTCACCTGACTGCCACTTGACGAGACCCCGACAGCGAAGACAGCTCGAGCAACGGGAGCAATCACAATGAAACTGGGCAACCACCAACACTCCCAAACAAACCAATCTCTGTTTTATTCCGTCTCTAAACCATCCTGTCTCTCCTTCCTCTTTATTTTTTGCTTCTCTTTCAGGCTCCCTCTTGAGCATGTATAGTTTCCAAGAGTTTTTTTTCCCATTTAAATTCATATGTGCATTTTTACCAGCACTCTAGTCTGTTACCCAAGCCTCAATGGCAATCAACACATCCACATCTGGCATTCATACGTACATTATACAAATCATTTTTACCTAATTATTTCACTTCACACCATCATTACTTCCCTTCAAGGCTACCAAACTTTCTAAACAATTGATTATATATTTCTACTGATAGCAAAGGCTGCATCCATACACTGTCCTGCCGGGCATAGCTGCTCTCCACAATTAGAATAAAGGGAGTTAATATAGTGTGCGTATCATTGCTGTAAACCATTTGAGGATGGCTGAAAATAGGCCTTGCTCTGGCAACACCCCTGTCTGCATGATGGATTGCGGCCCCGCTTTCCTTCGACCTCTTTAGAATACTAAAAAAACACGAGGTCAAGTATCACTTGGCCCCAAATTTCCTCGTGCATGAACATAAAGACAAATGAAGAAATTCGACTTACACAGGAGTTTTGGGCTGCCCAGGACAAGCAATTTAGGAAAGGTATGTGCATTTGACCACATCAGTCCATTTCAAAACACTCTGTCATTGCGTCTCATAATCATTACCCGAAAGTGGCGCGGTAATGAAGCTCCTAATGAGCATTTTGAAAGAAAAAAATTTGAATAATCACACGAAATAACACTGTAATAATGACAGTGGTAATGAATGCCCTTAGTCAGGAAAAAGCAGGGCATAATGAAGCAGTGATCAGCACAGTAAGGGCATCCTACAAGCAATGCACTTTGTCACTGTGCAGATCTACGCCGAGTCCAGCAGTCACCAAACAGATTGGTATGGGCATGCAGGTTGTTAGAATAAAAAGTTTAAAAAAAATCAATTCTGGTCCCAGAATTTCAGGTTGCTTGACCCATAACTGCTGCAGGAGACAAATACTTAATATTTGTCATGAGGACTTGAAAGAAAATCAATAGTGCCTTTTTGGCTGAGTGCAGTCTGGTAGTCCAGACACTGGCCTCTACACAGTACAAAAAAGAAGTAATGATGCAAAACAACGAGGCCAGCTGCTCCTTTTCTTTTTACAATTATTGCTAGTGCAATAAAATGTTATAGTAAATGCATGATGGTTGCACCCCTGAAAATGTTTACCAAAGTGGCAATTTTCTGCCTTATGCTTATTTTGAAGTGTCAGTTTCACAGTTTGCATCCTGTGCCCAATAGAAACCACAAATACTTCTCATCTCAGTCAGGTTTGACTTGTCAGTGTCCTGCGTTTTCAAAGATGCGCACCAGCACAGCGGCTTGACGGCTGGTTGTTCTATTAGCATCAGAAAGAGCAGGTCCAATCTCTAAGTGGGCAGAGCCGCATGTAATCCCATCAAAACCGGAGAGCCCATGACCTCATCTGGAAGGCAAAGGCACAGCCAGCCCGGGACATCTTCGGTTAGGAGATTTCATCAAGCACTGATGCCATTACTGACTGAGTGGTGGGGCAGGAGGAGGACGAAGGAGAGATGGGGGGTATGTGAGAAGTATTAATAATGCTGGGCAAAAGAGCGTCAACAGGGAGGAAGAAAAGGTTGTTTCTGCAAATGGAGGATTGAATAATGTGATAAAAACATCTCTCTAAGCACCGAAACCTTTCACCTGTCTCCAGCAGACAGAGAGACACCACCCATGATAAAAAGTTGAAAAGCAGAGCTGGTTGCGAGCGTCATAGATTCATGAAAGCAGCTGCAGGAAGTCTGCCTTTCCTATCATGAGCATGGTTAATATTAGCATTGACTAATCATTTCTGTGCCCATCCAAGCCAAGGAAAAAGGAATTCCCCTTACTGTCAATCTCCATACTTAGGTGGCATTAATAAAGAACACAGAATCTGGATACTGTGGCTTTATAAATCATAAAGAAACAAAACACATTTTTACACATTTTCCCACCCTGAAGACGTACAAAGTAAAGCGTGTCGCCTATCTCTTCCTTTTTTTATCGCATCAGGCTGATGTCTGTTTGATCTTCTTGGTAAACATATGGTCTCCTTGCCTTGCCAGATCTCACTGCTGACATAATACAGTGCTTACATAGCAGATACAAAACATAATGTGCCACCACCACAGTCTGGTGCAGACCTTACACTTTGTGTTGCAGTGACGCAATAGCCCTCATTAGGGCAAGGGATGCAAGATGCAGCACGTATACTGTTTTTTGTTTTTTTTTTGACTACATTTTGTCTGACTGTTTCATGTAATACATGGTGGTTGTGTATATGTGTGGCGACGATTCACAAATTCTGGCAAGGATGATAAGAGGTTTCCTGAATGTGACGTAATTGCTATTGGGTTTAACTTGCCCCTAAAATGATGACTAATATGTTTATTCCCTATTTGCCTGCGCATGTCAACAAAATGTGGAGACAGAATGTTTTTGTGAAGCTACTTCGTCACTGGCACTGCATACATTGCACTTTAAGTGCTTTCTTCCTGTCAACTGTAAAACACTGGAATAGAAAATGTCTCCCTCTTAAAAGAGCCTGTGTGCTGCGTAAACTTTAGGAGAACCAACAAATGTGCAGGTCAGTGGATGCTTGAGATGGATTCTTGTTTAACGTGGCAGAAAAAGAAACCCTACATCAAGTTGAAATCAATGAGAAATAAGCCAAAGGAATAAATTCTGCAACCTGCAATCACTTCTAACACTTTTTTTTCTCCCTCATTGATGGACGCCTTCAGTGTTAACCCAGCAGGACTACTACAGCAGCCCCTCAGATTGCAAACAAAGCACTTTGCCACAGATTTCCAGTTCACCGGCTGTGTGCCTGTCAATCGCTCACTGCCTCTTGAGGTGCAATTCACGGATGAGTCAGTTGCCTGCTCCCGCATCCTCTCCTCTTTTTTGGCGGCAGTGCAGAGTGCTTTAACTGCCCCAGGGCAGGTGGCTGGATTGCACTACAGCATGCACAGTCCGCAGCCAACAATCAGAAAACTCTGCTCATGCCAAGGACAAGCGTTTCACTACAAACATACTGCTTCATTAAAGGAGGACGATCTCCTGTTAGTGATCATCATGAACCAAACTTGAAGGTTACAAACAGTTCAAGTAAGCAAATTCATGTAGCTTAGATCAGATATTGTAACCCTTACATTCTCAATGAATCAAATTCCACAATTAAAAGACACAAAAACTGGAACTGAAACTCCTCTACATCCACAGTTCTGTGGCAATCCTTATCCTTGTTCCCTGCTTTCACCTAATGATGTCAATTTCTCTACTTTTATCAGGAGGCATTTGGACTCAGTTTGCAGCCAAACACAGAAAAACAACACATGCCTAGAAACCATCCCAACTTTTAACAAATGATACAAACACTTGTGAATAAATAATGAAGTATCCCAGAGTCCTGGCTCACATTTTAGTTAGAGATATCCCCGGGAAGATGCAAATACACCAACAACATGACATATAAATGCAGAATATCTCCCATCATACAACAGTTTGTTGAAAATACTGGATTAAGTGTTACACAGTCAGCATGTTTCCAGGAGGAAAAAGTACTTACCGTCATTTATGGCGAGAAGAGTGAACTGGGCTGATAGTTGCCCATTGCATCTGACTCCGCTTTGGCTTTATGGAGCAAACAAAATATTCTTGTGGGTTTTTTTTTTTTTTTTTTTTTTTTTTTTTTTGCAAACTATAGAAGAGGATCAGAGGTAATTGTCAGCGCACGACACAGAGTTTTTTTCGATGCAGTCCTCCCTCGCTGCAGCACTTCAGGAAAGGAGAGAGCGAAAGGGAGAGACGGTGGTTAGGAGGCAGAAAGGGAGGGAGGGATGGAGAGGGGGAGAGGGAAGGGAGGAGGGAGGGGGGCAGTGTAATCAATGATTGTACTTCATTGAGTGATGCGGGTAATTCCGTCTGATGGAACAATCTAGTTAGGTGACTGACGTGAAACGCTGCGCCGCATGAATGCTTAACAGATAAGAAAGGTCTGAATTTATATAAAGGGTACAGTCGGTGCTTTGGTCCATTCACCGTGAGTGAACCCCACTGAGATGTGTGAATGTGGACAATGAGTGTTACTGTCAGTGCAGGACAATGGTCACAACATGATACATAGACCTGAGAGTCAAAAGTTCGGGCAGAAAGTGATGTCTAATCGAAAAGTTTTCCGAAGCGTCTCGTGTCAGTGTGTTCAGAGGTCTGTTTTCCAACTTCAGCCTTGAGCTTTGATAAAAGCAGTGTGTCTGCGACCTCACCTTGTCATGCAGCACTTTGTATTTCAACGATTGTCTCTGTCCGTGGTGCTGACTGACACCTCAGCGTCTCAGCGTCTGGGTGCGCTGGGTTTGGGTGCTGCTGAAGGCATAAAGATGATCACACTTGTCGTGCACATGCGCCAGTTGGAAAGCCTGTCCAGGTGCGTTTTAAATCAGCTTTCATATCCCTTAACTGTGCTCCACATGTTGAACCTCCCAAAAAATAGCTTAAGCCAATCATAAGAATTAATATCCTAGTCGTTAAATTATATAATGGCAAAGCAAGTATTTCAGCTGACATTGGGTGAGGGTACATCCTGGACAGACAATTTAGAGACACCAATTAACCTAGCCTGCATGTTTTTGGACTGTGGGAGGAAACCGGAGTACCCAGAGAGAACCCACGCTGGGGAGAACATATAAACTCCCCCACCCTGGATTCAAACCCAGAGCCATCTTGCTGTGAGGCGACAACGCTAACCAAAGTGCCACCGTGCTGCCTTGAAAACTAATAATTATTGTGTTCCTTACCTTACGATGAGTCCTTTATATCTACACATCAAGCAGGTTCTCGTCCACAGAGACCATGTTGTTTCTACAGTAGCTCCGAGGACAAACCAAACTCTGGCGCTGGATAGGGCCATTCGCATTTTCATGTTTTGGTGCAGGTCACCCCAGTTCTTCTACCAGGCCGAACACTGCTCAGCCATGCCAGCACATTCTCACTCCGACCTTAGAGTCAACGACATTTAGTCATGGACCTTCCATATCCAGATACGATGATTTCAATAACTTCGGAGTGAGACTGGGTTGGCCATGCAGGCAATTTTTCCCAGTTGCCACTGGTGACACTGTTGCAAAAAAAAACAACAAAAAAAAAACAAATCCCCTGCGGCCCAAAAATCATTTTCTTACTAGGCCATCATTACAAAAAAAACATCTGTAAAACTGTTGACAGAACACCTCGAACTGCAAACAGTGTCAATGTTGTCTTTTTCCATCATGAATTTTTGATCCATGCAGGTTTTATATTTGTAAAACTTGACGAGCATGAGAAACACTGCTGCGCATACTCAATGGGCCACATATTGTGGAAGTAAACCTGAAAGCTAAAAACTTTTTTGGCATATGTGCTAGGTGTGCAACTCCATTGGCATCCAATATTATTATAAATCAATGTGCTTTGCAGCACTTTCAGTTACGCAGCCTCACAATTAGATGCCACTAAATCATACATACTGGACCTTTAACTCCATACATTTGATGGAGAGAAATAGCTCAGACTTTGGGGTCATATTAAAGCTTGCTTTAAATGAAAAAACAATTTACATGATACCGAAACTATGCACCTCTAATCCAACCCATAAATAGAAAAAATAGTATGAAAAACATAGTCTGTAAACAAGAGACACTGTTGGTGCAGTCACATAGCTTGACATTATTGTGTAAAATGATATAACCCTTGACCATGTCAGTCACTAGGCACTAAATTGCTCACCTTGCATGTCGTTTACAACTGGATAAATGGTCTCCAGGAGGGTCAGAGAGTCCAGGTCCTCATAGTATGGACAAGGACAGACTATTCAGAGTGGTTTCGCCATAGATCATACATGACTCAACCTGTGGCATCTTCTGAATTCATAAAACCACATTACATGCGTTACTCTTATTCAACACAATAAAGGCAGCATAAACATTTGTTTCAGCAGTGGTTCACATTTGGTTCAGGATTACATCATGTACAGTCTTTTGTTTTATTTTCACTCCACTGAGTTACATTTTTACATAAAGTAGCCTGTGCATTATGTTGATTTTCAAATGCAGCTTTCGCACTACAAAACTCTTTTATTTGTTCTTTGCCCAAAAATAATGACCTCAGAGGGAGCACCACTATTGAGGAACACCACACAGAGATTATACAATCCTGTTACTATAATTGCATAACCTAACACAGGCTCTTAGAGATAAGTAGGCTCTTTAGATGAAGTGTGAGACAGTGACTGCCTGTGTGCCTGCTATGTCAGATCCTAACGCCTCTGAAACCTGCGAGTGGTTCCTGGAGAAAGTGAGGGAGGGGGGAGAAAAAGAGATGACGGTCTGATGCAAGCACAGGGACATTCAGCCTTTCAGTATTCACATCATTAAAGCCTGCAAACTGTACCAGCGCTACCAGTGAGACTTGGTCTGCTGCAGAAATGACTACCAGCAAAGCTCTTTGATGTATTGCACCCTGCCCATCTGATTCCTTACTCTCATTTTTAGACGAAAATACTAAATCTCAATGGCTCCATGTTAAAATGCATAGCGTGTAAGACATGCAGTGAATAGTACAGCCCTGTTGTGCATTTGCTTACTGACTTTAAACACCGAGACATGGCTTTGACACTGGTCGTGCATCACGTTCACCGCAAAGGCTGCTGAATAGGATTGTAAACGATGCATACAGTGTGCAAACAGACATACACGGCACAAAAGCGTGCAAGGGTGCATACACACACGTAAACAAAAGGAAAGGCATCTATCTTTATGCTCTGAATTTGATGATTCACAGGAGAAGTGACCTCGGGCTTGGGACACTCTTTGCTTTTGATTCAGAGTTGGGAGACAAACCCCCCTCGAGCTATGAGACTCCATTTACTACTGCTGGAGAGCTGAGGAGCACTTAGCTTAATGTACGGGACAGTAGAATGACCCTCACACACACACACACACACACACACACACACGCAGTACACTGCGCATGTCAATGCTTTCTCTTTCTTTTCTTGTAAGACTTCTCTTTGTCACATAAACATGCACAAGACAGAAAAATGCTCTTGAATTTTACTGCTTTTTATATAGTGAAAATACAATAAATAGAATGATATATTTCTCACAGCTTGCAGGTTGGATACTGATATGTACGAAGACTATAACTCCCATATCACAGTACATGTAGCCTGACACTGCTGGTTAGTAATAAGAAAGTGACAGTAGTGGAATAAAGCCCTGCTGGGCGAGCAACTCAGACCCTTCTATGTCCTGCTGGGTGTCCCTCTCATCTTCGCTATATGAACAATGTGTTTCTCTCTACACACATTGTCTCTTGCTGCATTTTGCTCTTTCCACATAGAATCTCCTTTTTTAATATGTATCATACTGCCCTGAGATCTAAAATGGATGTACCTGCAGTGCCAGCTTTCCTTAAGAAATGACTAGAGAGGTGGAGGTAGAGGGGAACAACTGTCTGCTGCTTATCGTCATCCAGATTATAAGAAACGGATGTGGACACTGATGGTAATTGTTTTTGCCTTGTGGAGATAGAAGCTCAGGCTAACTGATTTAGTCTCCATCTTTCCTCTCCGCCTCCATTGCTCATCTGCGCTCACATGGCTGACCACTACATGCTGGAGTCAGCATTTATCACACTGTATGGATACGGAATAACGGCATGAATTATGCAGCCTTGTTGTCTCTCACATGGTTGTTAATACTATCTTATCTGAGAGCGAACAACGCGGCCGTGATGTATTTACAAGTGCCGGCAAATTCCAATCATTCTGAAAGCAAAACAAAAGGACACTGGTGTCACTGATAGAGAGATGTGATGGATTAGAGTGGCCCAAGGGGGAAGTCCTGCTCCATCAAAATGTAATGAAAACTAATTTGAAAACAGCAGGCAGCTATGAATAGCTCTAAGATGAGTTCTGGCAACATTGTGTTCAGCAAGAGGTCGTCATTGTCTCATATGTGAGAAAAATGGGTTGATAACATTACGATTGATGATAGCACATTAGTTGTTGTCTTCAGGAGTTATGGCTGTCTGTAAACACGTCTGACTGGAAATCGATCAAGGGCAGAAACAATTTTACGCCCAAGTTTGTAATCTAGTTTCCACAACTGGAATGCAAAAGATGAAATGACACGTACACGAAACAACAGAGCGGGACTTAATAAGTAATGAAAATACAATGTTAAAAAAAAGGACTGTGAGAAAAAGTTCCTTAACAAAGTCAACTTGTATAAGCACAGAACATTATTTCCTAATTTCTGTTCTGTCTACCATTGCAAGGTCCTGAATAGTCTAACGTACCTGAGCTAAAATACCAGGGGGAAGAAAGTCAAATGGATTGTGATTATTGTCCTGGAACAGATTGAACAGGCTATGAGAGAAGAATGTGAGCTGAATCCTATTTCAGCACAAGAGCCCAGGTGCATTTCTTTCGCTGAAAGGAAGGTGAAATTTACAAAAGGGATCTAAAGGAGGGTTTGAGGCAGTGATACTGGCTTTAATCTAACCACTATCAATACTAGCTTATTACCTGTGTCTGCAACAAAGGGGGAACATTATACAGAGTGGGCACAGAACAGAGGTCTGTCTCCTGTCTGTCTGTATCTTAAACTCAGCACAAAGATACTGTTAATCATTTCATCTATGGATGCACTCATGTGGGTCAAAAGACAGGTGTAATAGCTGATGCAGCGCTTTGATTCTGAGTGATTTGTATTCATTAAAAGAATATGGATTTTATATGCTTGATATATAGTACTGCAATTTAATGTCACTGTATTTAAAACCAA